CGGAAAACTTATATTCTATGATACTTACCTATTATAATATATACGATTAAATATAACATTATAAATTACTTTCTATTTGTGTCATACGTTTTATAAAACATATTTTTTTATTATTCTCCTATATTTTATATATAAGAATATTTTATATATAAGAAGATTAATGTTGGCGATTAATTATCATTAACTTATAATTATGTTTTATAAATCCGTTAATTTATTTATAAATTCTTATATTTGTATAGACGTTAAAACAGAATACGGAACCTGCAAGCGGTAGCACATCCGATACTCAAAAAGTAACTGAGCCGAGAAAGAAAGAATCTGTTTCAACGCAGACGCAAACTCCTTCAGTTAGTCGATCGACACGATTCAATCACCAGGAAAATACGAATCTCACTCCGACATTGGTAAATTTAATTTTTTCACAAGGATTAGACAATATATACATTTGGAGATTTTACATGACTACATTTTTTTCTCGTAGCAAGCTCTTTCTCTTGGTAGTGCAAATAAAACACGGACTTCTACGGTTGGCGTTGATCTTCAGACTTCTCCTCCTTCTCCGTCTCCGTCCGCGAGGCGACATCATCATCATCATCATCATCACAATAACAGGCATCACAGGCATCATGATGTACCTACGACACGTAACAGACAACATAATCATTCACAGGATTCTGGTAGATCCAGCGACAGTTCCGTCTCGCATAGTAGGACCTCCTTGGAGTCGACCGGTTATCGTTTGTTGGATTCGCCGCATAGGCATCATCATCGTTCAGCCGCGCAAACGCCGGTGAACACTGCACAATCCTCCCCTAGGCAGCACAGTAGTGGTACTCTGGAGACTAGATGCCACAAGAGCGGGACTCTCGAAAGTGTGAAAAATCAGAAATCTGTATCGTTAGTAGGAGAACCACCGCCACTGGGTCTATCGCTTTCGACCAGCACACCCCTGTTTAAGAAGAAGACATTCACTGATCCACAACGCGAAGGTAGGGCTGGAAACTTGGATCTAGACAAAAGTAAAAATGGTAAGGATGTATAATATATTTATGTTTTTATGCTTTTGCCATAATTATTTGTTATATACAAGTCCCCCTCCCACACACACACACACACACACACACACACACACACA